CTTGGTTTATACTAAAGTATATTAATAATGATACAGACACCTAACTTTTGTACTAGTTTTTACTATTAAATAAGTCTTGAACTTTCTCTCAACATTACTATAAAATAACTAAGGAATTTATCTCTTTTATTGATTTCTGTTCTATCATCTTGGGAATCAGTGAACTTGTGTTGGGGTTAGAAGATTTCCTGTTCAGCATAAACTTAGTAAAGAGACTGTAGAGAAATGCTGAATCAGAGCAAAATATTTAGGCTCTGGAAATAGCAAGAACCATAGTGAAATTTTAAGCTATTAAAATGTTTGGTCCCATAGCTAAATTTAAGTACATTCTTCATTCAGTGCCAGTCACAAAAATTTTGTTGTGCTGGGTAAAACAGATATACCAGGAAGCCTTATCCATCACACCTTATACAAACTTCATAGTACTGTCACTACATACTTTACTGCTGTTCTTTTCTTTGTAGAATTCAAATGTGTAATTTGCATTATTACTCTGAAAGTAAATTCCTATTGAGTCTTGACACCTGCCAGCCCTGGTATTCATTTCAAGATGTAAAACGCTACTTTGAAATAAATATTGGGAAACTCATTAAATGTTGTCAACTGTATCATCCATGTTAGTATAAAACAATATAGTTAAATACTTCTGGATTCTATTTTCTCCTAAAAAAAAAAAAATAACAAAACTGTGACCACTTTTATACTTTAAAAACATTTTCTGAAGCTAAGTCTTCTGATCTTCATCAGTTTCATACACAATATTTTTCGCATGTGAGAAGTGTGTACAGTTTCTGGTTTTATGCTTAGAAAGTTCAACATCCAATTAAAGGATTAAGTGGGCAAAGTCTGACAAGAACTCTGAAAGTGAAATTCCCCTAGCCTCACTTATTTCCAAATTCAGACATAAACTAAGTTTAACCAAATTTAGACAATGCTTAGTGTTTAAAGTCAGTAGAACCTAGGTTCTGATCCTGGCTGGTCCTGGATAACTCCCAGTCATTTCAGATGAGCTGAGTGCAAATATTTGAGGAAATACTTTTTTTATTATTTTGGGAGTTACATTAATGCTTATGATCATTTCTGCCTTACTCATTTCTAACAAGAATCTTGTCTGCCTTGTAAAGCATATTTATCTGCTCCGTCTTTAGGCAGACTCTATAACTGGCTTTAGTGAAGCTGGACTAAGATGAGTTGTAATGAAAATTACCCCTGCAAATGAAATGAATTAAACAGAGGTGTTTGTAATCACACATACTCAGCAGATTATTTCAGCTGGAGCGTGTATATAAATTAGTATTAATTTCCTGTTATGTTGAAAGACTTAATTTTTTAGAAGGCCAACGGAAGAATGTGAGAGGAAGAAAACCACTCATCGTTAGCTTGATGTGCCCTTCATGCTTGTGGTCCCACAAGTGATAGTTGCCAGTCCAGTTTGAAAAAAGATTCTGAAACATCTTTTTCCCCAAAGGGAACAAACTGCAACATAATAATGCCTGCCAGATAACTTGTGATTCATGCCACTCTTTTCTTTTAACTTCTACCAAATCCAGCCCTAGCAAGTTCAAACTTCTTGTCTGTATCTTTGGATCTTACACCCAAATTCTTGCTCTCCTACTCCATGCTCCTGACTGCACGGCATTAGTCTCTCATGACCTCCTGTCATCGGGGAGATCTATCTTGAGACTGTGCCTGATTGTTCAAGTGTTCATTCTGTCTGATTACTCCACTATGTTATTGAGCTGATTTCTTAAGTTACTATTTACTAATGTCTTCCTTAAACCCTTTTTCAGAACCTGCTTCCTTCAGGGCTCTCAAAAGACAAGAACCAGTGTGCTGGAGGGCTAGCCCAAAAGAAACATTTAGATGGCTGCTGGCCTAAGGCATGTGCTCCCAATTGTCTCTCTTATCTGTAAATTCTTGTTATAGGTTATAAACTTATACGAAAAAAGGACAGTTTAAGGCTTGTTTGTAATCCTTCCCGTTTTGAAACCTAATTTTATTTCAGCTGCTGAAGTCAATGGTGGTAAAATAGTAAACTGACAAGACTACCCTGAAGAGTTGCTGAATTATACATTAATAGGCACTGTTATGGCTTAGCAGAGTTTTTTTTTAGCCAATGATACATTAAGAATTTGTAAGGATGGATCTGTGACCTTTGTGAGGACCCTGTCTTAGGCCATGCAGCAGATGCTTTGCTGTTGCTGAGAGGGAGAAGCTCTGAAATCAGGTACACAGTACACTTTGTCCTGGAGATCACTGGAGAATCACTCATACTGTTGGAGAGCATTGAATCTTTGTATGATACCAGAAATGGAATCTGGCAGCTGGAAGCTGCATATATTGTTTGGGAGGACAAAAAAGGGTCATAGGTAGCAGCACAGGGGCACAGACCTTTCATGCTGAGAACTATGTCCTCAAGCAGAGGTGTTAAATCAGCATTCCCAGACTGAAAAAAATCTTATATTACCACTGAGACAAATCCAAGCTTCCTGCCCTGATGGAGCCATTTGATGGAAGCACTGAGCAGGGCATTGGACCATGGTCATTTAGACAGGATTTTCTGATAAGAAAATAATGCAGCTGTATACATTTACTGATCTTCTTTGGAGTGAAATGTCACAATAAAGTATACAGATGCTTTGAAAGTCCCTTTGAGATAGAGTTTATGTAGCTACTAGGCATATTAAGAAATCAAAATTGTAAATTGAAAATCTTATAGTTAATAGTCCATGCCTAAACATTAACCAGGCAGCCAAATAATATTTTTTCTCGTTTTGGTAAATAATGGTGCTTGCAATTTTACATGTTCAGCTAACTTCACAGAATGATAGTCACTGAACACAAGCCTCTTGAAGCACTGCATTTTTTGGATCTGCCTAATAAAGGCCCTGCCATTTATGTGTCCAAATCAGTTTAATCTAGGCATAAGTCCTTGGAAAAAATAACCCAAAACTTAATATTGTTGCCTTTTCAGTCATAAATCAGAGAGGGTTTTAGTGTTCTCTGCTTCAATGTTTTACATGTAGAGTAGTATGAATCTTAATGTTGTAGGTTTTCTATGTGTTCTGTAGATTACACCTGGCTGCCTGACAGAAAGCTGTCAGAGAAAATGACCATAATTAATTACCATTCAGTAGAGTAATAATTAAATAGGGATGCGGAACTTATAGGAGCTCCACAGTGTAATATCCTCTTATACAGCTCTCTATGGTTCATTAGGTATAGAAATAAATCTTTTCAATAAACTTAGGCAGTATGCAAGTAAATTGTCATTTTTAATTAAGATCTCATTGGTGAGATAGTATACACCTCGATATTTGAAATGTGCATACTTTTGTATTGATGCCATGTTACTGACTGACCTGTCATTGCTCTCCAGTCACCTGAACTGGATAATAATTAAAAAAAAAGATGTGAAATGATTCTATTCATTTTGGATTTGAACTTGCATATACCTCTTCTCAATTTTGCATACCCAAGGGAAAAGAATTCCTTTATTAAATCTGAAGCCTGAAATTCCACTGCCTCAGCTCTTAAGAGGATTTTAGAAAATGAAAAACCCCGCCTACAAGAGAGGCTGAAGAAGGGAAAAATATCCAGTTTAGAGGCCTTGGGGGATTAATAAGTCTTCCCATATTCCATGGAATCCCATTGAACTAAAGTTATAGTAAGGCCATAGAGACAAAGGTCTTATGCCTTTTGCTTTCCCGATGAAAGTGGAAAATATAATTTTTTGGAGTGCAAATGGTATTTTTCCCCACGTATTGTATCGCTAAATCTCTATGCCACCATTTGTTTTATAGGTTGGAAATTCAGAACTTCAGGTTTGCAAATTAACTTACCAAAAAAAAAAAAGAATTATAATGACTTTGACACTATAATGTTTAGGACATCCTACATTATCAAAGTACAAATTTATATGTTAGTGAGGAAGAATTTGGAAAATATTTCTATAATCTAAAAGTACACTGTTAATGTCCATGCTGGAAAGATTGAAACAGTTTGTCAAACTGAAAAGGAGGAATAGAAGTATTAAAGAATTTGCCTCTACTTAGACCGGACAATACACCTCAATGTGATTACTTAAAAATAAATAATCTATTCAATGCAATGGAAGGGTTGGCTGAACTTTTGTAAACCTATCTTGGAAGGACAGAAAAGAGGGGAAGGTCAGTGGGGAGCGGATATTTAGGGAAAAAAAAAAATACTTTTGAGTAAAAGGAGCCACTTTCAGAACTAATTTTCAGGCTAGCCACAATTAGGAGACAAATACAAAAGGGTGGGGAGCTGCAGAACACGCCAGCAAAGGAAACAAGAAAAAAAAAATAAAAGAAGAGAAAGATAATGTTTATAGTCCAACAGGAAATTAACAGTAAAATCATGGTGCTTGTGAGATGAAAGGGGGAAAGTGGAGAGGGCAAGCTAAGATAATGCCTATACTTTCCTCAAGCAGCAGAATACAAAATGTGGTGGAGAGCTACTCCTGAGTATAAAAGGGTGACGGCAAAACTGAGCATAGCTATGTGCACGTCTTACTTTGGCAATATAGAGTAAAAATAGGTAAGTTCAGGAAATGAGGGTTCTCAGACTTTGTATTAGAATACCTTGAATTGTGCATTTGAACTCAGTTACAGACTAGCAGTGGGTCCTGTGAACTGGGAACAATGTAAATATGAAAGAGTGTTATGCATATGGTGGTCTCCTGTGGACTGTGTGTAGGTATAGTTTCACCATTGTGATTTGCTGGCATTTGTATGTGCTCACACTTGACTTGCGCAGGTAGAGCTGATTAAATAAGTTACAAAAGAAGCAGCAAGCACCTGTGAAAAGACTTTTTGGTAAGGAAAGCAGGGAATGGAACAGAGATAACAGTCCTTATATAGGAAAGTAATATGGATCAAATTCCACTTGTGCTTTTGACCATTCTGGCAGGTCTTTTTGTGCACTTTGTATACTAATACTGATTTGACAATATTGTAAGACTTAATCTTTTATTCTAGGTACACATCACTTTCACGGAAGTCCTATATTTATTTTTCTTTTTCTATCTGGAAATTCCCGAGTTACCTTATAGAAAGATGAGAAATTTCAAATGTACTGATGCCAAAAGACATAACAGCAGATGTGGTTTCGGCTCAAAAAGTAAAGAAAAAAGCCCCAAACCTGCCTAGACATCTCTGTGAGGGATTGTTGAGTATGGTTTGGTGGAGTGACATCTAATTTAAGGCATCAAAGTCTATTATTGGAGCTGGCCCCAAGTGACTTATATAAGTCTGTCTGTCATCTCCCATTAGCATGTGCTGGTTGCGAAAGGATGTGGGAACCAACAGTAGGTTAAAAATGAAATGAACCTTGGATGTAATGCAAAGGAAATGCCTCCAACTACCAGAGGGTTCTTGCACAGAAAATCAAAGGCCCTCTTTCCCACTCCCAAAATGTATGTTTTGTAGCCATGGGCTTATGTCATTATTATAAACTTGATTTTTATTTTATTTTTTTAATGCATACAACTTTAATGACAGTTCTTTATAGAAAGTTCTTTCTTTAGAGCTCAGAAAAGAGCTTAGAAACCTCAGTCAATAACTGTTTTGGTATTTGGTTGTTTTTTTTTTTTGATGCTGTGAAATTATTTATGTGTCTCAACATAATGTGAACTCTTAACATTGTCATAAAAGTTTGAGTTATCCTTGTATCCAAAACTAATACCAAATTCCAGTAAAGATTTGGGAGCAAAATCTTCTCAGATTTGCTTCATAGTAATCTTTTCAGGGAAAATGCTATATGTCTTTTCATAGCATTTAATCTTCAGAGATTTCAAGCAGAAAGATTTAACAATATTCTTAGGAATATATTTTAGCAATTCAGTTGTACATATTCAGGAGGGTTATAAAATAAACCCTGAGACTACATGGTGCTAAATATCAGCTTTCTACTTATAGTAAAAAGCATCCATCAAGTCATTGACGTCTTCTTCCCCTTCAGTTGAAGTGTGGTGAACCATTTGTTAAAGTGCCAAGAAACATTTTAAAAATCAAAGGTAAAGACAAGAAGGTCATTCATGCCTGTTTACTCCCTACTGAAATGAATACCAAAGAAGGTTATCTGTCATGAAATTCCGCTTTTGTCCACTTCTTTAAGAAGACAAATGGAGAAAATAAAAGAACAGACGAAACTTAGAAATAGAATGAAAATCTATGTGTTCACATCTATATATATATATAAATAAAAATACAATATAAATATATTTGAAGAACATATAGAGAACCACACATACACAAACACGCTATATTTCAAAGAATATGGTATATAGTATGTATCATAGGAAACACATTTGAAAAATAAATCAGTATTTGTCTTCATAATGATAAGCCATATCAGCAGGCACCCTTTTCCTTGCTCTAGACTATATTCTGAAGTCTGAGTTTGGTTTTGCCTATCAAATACACAGAAATAGAGGTGTGGTCACATATTGCTAGCACTTACAGGTGCATTGATGTTTGTGATGCATTGTTTGGCACTAGAAGTTTGTTTTGACAATATTATGATTAAGAAAGCAAACTTCCTGAGAATTCATTAAAATTTAGATTTTTTTTTTAGGCTTTTGTAAAAAAAAAAACATTTTAATCCCTTTTGTTAAAAAGCAAAATAAAAATTTTGTTTGAAATCACCAACTCTTCTGTCCTGTTATTTTATTTTTTTTTTTTTATCTCTTGAGAAACTAGTAATGGAGAATTTGTGTAATAATTTGACAATGTTATTTTTTTCTTATTATTGTTCATGACTTTTCTAGTTACTGCTCCTGTTTGATCCTTAATCTGCTAGGCATCACTTCTTTCTTACGGACTACCCACCAAATGCTGGCTCATCCATCCAGTAGCATTATTTGTAGTATTACAGGCATTTTGATCTTGTCATGAGCTGTTCAAGAGGTAATATTCTGAAATATTAAAATGTCACCACATTCTTGATGTTGGCTTTTTGATTCATACTCCTAGATACTCAAAAGGATTGCCTTAGGCACATCTGTGTTAAAAAAATAAAAATTAAACAAAAGATTAAGATACACCTGTTACTCCTGCAGAGCTGCTGTGTGCTATACCTATAAGCTGTAGTATTTTCAAAAAAGGTAGGATAATTAATAAATATAGACAGAAATAATGTTCATCCTTTATCTTTTATTAGATTAGCTTAAAAACACCCTAGTAAATAGGATGTTGAATACTGAGACCATCTGAGTACACACTTAATCAGCTTTAACCAATCTGCTGACAGGAGAGTAGGCATACAGACAGAATCATGTGCTTGGGTTTAGTGATGGCACATAAAAACTAACAGAAATGAAAATAAATCGGCCTAAGACAGTAACATATTAATAGCATACTTGTCTACTGGGGAATGTCCTCTAGTCTTCAGAGATTAAAACTATCGGTGTTATTATAAACTAAAAACTAAGAAGCCCTGATACATTTGGTGCACTGTAGTTGGTAGTATTTTTTTTCCCAGACCTCTTCTCTTTAAAATTCTCAAAGTTTTCAGCTTAAAAAGTCACTTTACAAATCTCTCAAGTTATAGAGAAACCACAGCTGAGGAAAATGAGTTAGCTCAATGTGGCAATGAGAAATAATTGGTTTTGTAGTTTATACATTTACACTGTCAGGTTCCACAATGAACCTCTGCTGCATTGATGCACCATATAAATGTACTGCTTACATGGGAAAACAAATAAAAAAGTACTGGACTGCTTACTATCAATTGATGCTAATAGGCCATGTGATCAATGCAAAACCAAAAAAGAGGAAAATAAAATTTATAATGTGAAAGTATGTGGTTGATGACAAAATGTAGTTTTGGACTTGGAACTCAGAAGTTTTTGTAAAAGCAAGAAGTTCACAAAGGTTTAAGAAGAGACTAGAAGCGCTCATGGAAAAAAAAAAATCATAGGTTTTTGTATATGTAGAGCCTGTGCCTGTTTCAGCAATTCCCTGAGCAAGAATGAGTTTACAATTTAAGATGTTATGTTAAATCTCATTCAAATTCTTGTGCATAAGAGCTGATAATAACTTTTTGCCAACACACAACTAAGAAACTAACCTGGATTTAGAGGACTGCAGGCTTCTTTTTATTTGATCTCTAAATATCAATTCTCAATGAAAGTTTGCTATTTTGATTTTATGCATTTGCAGTCAAGAATTGTATGGTTAATTCCTAGTAGAAATCTGCTGGTAATGCAATAATTTTTGTTGTGTGAAAAGTGCTGATATTCAATACAGAGCAGCCGTCGGTGATCACATCTAAACAAAAAGAAGCTGAGAAATAGTAAATATCTTAAAGAAAACTTTAAAGTTATTTAAAGTAAATAACTTAATGAAAACTTATTGCTACCTTTGCCATTTGTATCTAAGCAGCCTACTTTTCAGACAAATATGAATTTTCATTTGCTATCATGTTTACAGTAAAGTTTATGATAGGTACATAGGTAAATATGGATATTTAAAGTACTTCAGATTTCAAATATGAAGGTTCCTCATAAAAAGCTTTAATATGGAGTATGGAGTTAGAAGCTGTGGCATGGTTATTGGAAGGGTCTTCAGATTATGAAAGTCTTTTCCTAAAGTCAACAATGACAGCCATGGAGAAGAAACTCTTATGAGTCTGCACATACTTAAGTGGAGTTCTAGATACTGTAAGAGTGTTGTCAAGTTGCAGATGGTTTAGGTAATAGTTACATTAATGATTCTGTGACTGCCTTCCAAAATCTTCATGTGGCTGATTCTCTTGAAACACTTTCCTGTCCCTCAAAGAGCTGAGAGTAAGGGAAGACAGGGCAGGACAACAAATTCTGCTGGCTTTCAGGGACCTGCTGCTCCAGGGCTAGACAGAATTTAGGCTGTTTAGTAGCTTTATCGTAGAGGGACTTGGCAGTTTCAGCCTTGGCTGTCTTCCTTGGCTAACATGCGTTAGGGCCACCACTGTGCACAGCAGATGAAAGGTAGGATCAGGGATATGCAAGGAACTTTGGAATTACCCTCTGGCTTCACACTGTTTTCTGCACTAATCAAGAAACTAATTGCTATTTTAGCCAACTGCACTTCCAGGGATTTAAAGATACCTGAAATGCATTGCAAATAATAAGTACAACAAAAAGCATGACAAAAGTCATTGGGGTTTTTGGCCCTGTTACTTACCTTTTAATAAGAGTCCCCACAAACCAAGAACCCTCAGCTAAATATTACAGCTGTTTAAAATCCCATTGTTTGGCAATCAACCCATTTTTTTCAGAAAAGGATTAAAAATTAGTAAAAATTCAGGCACATGAACCACAACAAAATGCAAGCTTTATTGGCTTGGTGGAATGTCACGCTAACGTAGCATGGTCAGTGCTAAATTGCTTCTGTGCCTAAGCCAATAAGACCGAGTTTCCTCAGGCTGCACATGACCTTTGTCCTGTGGGCAAGCTCTTATTGATGATTCTTTACAAACTGCAACAAGTATTTCCTTCAGGAAAACAATAATTTTGAAAACCCTCACATGCTCTATGGCAGTTTGTCATAGTTATTCTAGCAGAAATCAACTTTTAATGAAACCTTTAATCAGGTGTTTAAAAATGAAAACACTGTTCAGTGAACATTGTTCACTGCCCTTTCATGATAAGTGATACTACACTAGTGAATGCATTTCATATACATTTGTGTTCTCTTTACCCTTAGACACACTTAACACAGAAATTCAACTCTTTCCTTGTTTTCCCTCCCAATTCTCTCCAGCCCAACTGCCGCATAACCACATCCTTCTCATGTGTTATGCCCTGTTCTTCCTTACCATAGCAACTGGGTCTCAAATACCGAGGAGATGGACCAGGTCCACCCTCAGTATAACACTGAGGGAAGAATGGTGAAGTGACCCAGGTTCATACAGACAAGATAAGTGAGGTGATGGGTTGGGCTCTGAAGGGCACAGAATACCATCTAAAACTGATAGAATTAATGGAAATGGACACTGAACTGTAGGGCTGGAAGAATCATGGAAAAAGCCTCCAATCCTGCCTTCCCCAGGGCAGAGTCAATAACACTTCCTAACAGCCATCCTGGCAGATGGATTTCTAGCCTATTCCAAAGACTTTTCATGGTCGTGATTCCCCAGGCAATGTATTTCAGTATTTAGTTGCTCTTGCAATTTAAAAAGTTACTTGCGGACAAGTTACTTGTCTCTTGTGGATATAGTTTTATTCAGTTTATTTTTCATACGGCTACGTTAGTTGTTATGATATGCATACATATTTGTGAGGAGTGTTTTTATACATATATATCTGTTTATAAATAGTTTATTTGACCTTTTGTTACAGCATGTTTCACATATTTCCTGTGCATTCCATCTTGTGTTTGGAATCAGGAA